GGGGGAGTGAGCCTTCTGTTGCAAGTTCAAGTTGACATCCATTGTTACAGATTGAGTAAACAGTGACCGCTCATCTCACTTATGATTATTTGTGTATGAGTTGTGGGTGGGGGTTATAAGTTATGATGGATCTCAAGTTTCCCTCACCAGCAGCTGGAAATTTATTGTTACCGAGTGATCGACTTGGGTAAACAGTGGGAGGGACCTACCCAACACGATCGGTTCATTTATTGGAGGGACTAACAATAACAACAGGTGGATTGATTGTGACAGCTCGTCTACAGCATCAGGAGCCAATACATAATTTATGACAAAGCATTGGATGATTAGAGATTTGTGAGGCCATCTTAGAATGTTTTTTGGGTTGTTGGTTTATAAGATTTGGTGGCCGTGACCACGTTGGACAGACGAATGTTTTACACAATGAAATGATATAGAAAAAAACGCTAGGGGAGATGGAAAGTGGACGTTTGTACAGGTGGCCAGATTATACAGGTGACCGTCTTGGCAGGTTCGACTATAATTAGTCTGAGATGAATGTGAACTTCCAGAGAATGGAGTAGGACGGATAAGCCAGTGGTAACAACAGTTGAGACTTTTTTGTTGCCTATGCTCAAATACATATTTTTGTGGTCTATTCCTGGTAGATTGTCATTCTTATTCACAGTGCAAGGTAGCCTTGAGACCAACAACCACAACGAACTGGTCTCATGACTGCTTTTTATACATAAATAAGGATTTACTGTAGTCTCCGCCTAAACGCATGCCATACAAAAGCACGCTCCACTCAAACGCAAGCTTTCGTCATCTGACGGGTTTTTTATTATATAATTTAGACGTACAAACGCATGGCCACTCCCTCTAAACGTGCGCTCCGATTTGCGAAACACGCTGACGGGTAAAGCTTGACTAAGGGAAATTTTCACTACGACAAGCCTAGAAAAACAGATATTTGGCGAGACTGCCCCTTACGCCGAACAAAGTGAGCGATGGACAGCGTTTTCACACCGTACTTTCCACAGACACTTAGGTCTAGGACTCTAGTACTGGTCGATGAAATGTTGGGGGGTTGGGGGACTGAAACGTTATTTGATTGGTCACTGCAAATGCATCTCTTTTGAGAGAAGGTTTCTGACTGTTGTTTGAGTGACTGCGTGTTGGCTAATGTTTAGTTAGACCTAAGCCTATGATGTGCAACACGCGTGAATGCTCGTTCATGAATTTATGGTCGGGGGTGGTCGCTTGGAAAGCCACGGGGCTTGGCTGTCGTCTCTATGACTATCACCAACAATTTTTTTTCAGGCCATTGGTTCCCGACATTTTATGGTTCATTCATTGCATCAAGTCTGTCTTTCTGCCCCCCTCCCGCACACACACCCATTCAACGCCTTTGTTTTCTTAACCGCAGTCGGGGAATCTTTTACAAAACAGTCACGTGTCGTCTCATTATCAGCCAAAGTGACCCCTACCCCAAAGGGAGGTAACTAGTATATCAAGGCAATGACATGACTGCATCCCTTCCTCCCCTTTGCTAAGGTTCATGTAACAACACGCTCCGTATAAACACACGCTAAGGAGCCCTCCCGAGCAGCGTGCGTTTAGGTGGAGACTACTGTACAGTGTTAGATATCATCATTTGTCTAGCGATCCAAAGTTAACTTGAAAGTAATTTATCCACAGATAGACGACAAGCTATCATCGCTTCTTAGGTGATGCTATCTATATGAATGGAGATAGTGATGTGGTGTTATTTATTATGATTGAACTCCAATATAAAAGCCTCACCAGGAGTTCAGACCATCAATGATTTATTTATGGTGCCTCTATAAATAAATCATTGATGGTCTGAACTCCTGGTGAGGCTTTTATATTGGAGGGACTCGCGCTCAAGTCTATGTGACGGGTTTGATGTGGCCGGAGGACTAACAGGCATCGGATAAAATAAATCTGTTCATCTACAGGTCCTTAACACATATAGCCTAACTTCTGATCCAGCAGAAATGTTCGATTTGAATTTATGTAAAGTGCAGCTGGAGCTGTTCGTGTAATTGGTTGCTACTTGTTTTTTCCCCTGGGCCCAGCCATTATGCAAGACATCTAGAATCTAGATGAGGCAAAACTGGCCTCAGGTTGCCTCCAGGCTCCAGTCTCTAGTCCATGCTATTTAACAGACAGCATTAATACCCTGTCCTACCACCAACCCTGCCGTACCCACAACCTCATGCTCATCCCAAGGTAGGTGGTATAATGGGGTCTGACTGTATGTTCCAAATATTTATTTTCCCCCTGTTGACATTGACTGAGTACATTCTGTTGTGTTTTGTAGGCAATGCCAAGATAGCTATTGTTGAGGGAGAGCTGGCTATGGAGAGCTTAGCCAGCTACAAGTCTGATGCCCAGCTGAAGTCCATCCATGTGCCTCTCAGCTCTAAGGAGGAGGAGCTGAAACTGCGCCTGCTGAATTACTTCGTCAGATGCTACTCCAGGTTTGCTCAGATGTCTCCTGAGCTCAAAGACAATCAAGAGACTCCCTGTTTTTATCTTTGGGATGCTGTTCAGAGGCCAGATGATCAAGAGGTATAAGACACCATGTGTGTGTGTGTGCATGCATGCGTGCGTGCGTGCGTGCTTGTGTGCGTACATGTGAGCGTGTGTATGTGTGTGCTTTATTTTTCTCTTTTCTTTTGTGCTTCATTTTTGTATGTTCATTTATGTGTGTCTACTGGCCTGTGTGTCTGTTCCTCTGTGTGTGTGTGTGTGTGTGTGTGTGTGTGTGTGTGTGTGTGTGTGTGTGTGTGTGTGTGTGAGGAGAGAGGGAGGGAGTGATTGAGTAATTATGTCTTAATGTGTGATCTGTGAATTTTGTTTTTGTGTAGTTGAGCTCTTATACAGCTTACACTATGGTTCTATTGAAGGCATGGGTACCGCTGAATGAAGTGTAAAAAAAAGTATCCTTCAATAAAAGGGTGTGTATGTGTAACGTTATTGTATGCTATTTTCATTTATTTGTTTCTCTGCTTTTTACCTAGTTTGTTTAGAATGATTATGGTTTATATTGTGGGATTTTTTTTTCTTGCAGGTGATGGACGGCATAGCAAATAGGTTGCTCTCGGACCCTGAGCCTTTGAGTGCAATTCTTCAAGTTATTTATAATGCCAAAAGGTCGGACAGCGTTCTAGATATAACATTTCATTATGTTCGAGAGCACTTGTGCAAGCTTGCATTGGCTTTATTGAATATTGGAGTAGATGACGAGTGTATAGATGACTTGTTGTCACAGTTCAAGTCGGAAGATAATGCAGTAAGTGATATTTCATGAGTGTGTTGTTTATACATGCTTCTTAAATTTGAATTTGACATACTGAAAAATATTTCAATTGATTTTGAAATGCAGAGATGATAGATTATACGGGTACCAGTGTTCGAATTTTAAAGTGCAACTTTAAAAAAAGTTAGTAGATGATGAGGATGACAGTATCAGTCAGAAGGAAACTTTTTGAAATCTGTCTAGATCTAGAGAGATTGTCAATATGAGGATTCTACAGTAGCGGGATCAGGCTGCGGTGCAAGAAATTGTTTTAAAAAAGTGGAAGTGGTACTCTGGCATTGTGATTTTCAACAAATGAATGTGTACATGGAGGAAAATTAGAACCCAGGATCAGTGATTGAATGTTCAAAATCGATGTTCCCATATTTGCAAACTGTCAATGGTGTGATGACTTATTGAATAGCGGCAATGGATAAATGTAATTTTCAACACCCGAAAAGCACTAAATGTCAATTTCTTCAGGGGCTTTTGCCCCATGCCCTGAACCCCTCTCTGGGCTTTGCTGGGGGCCTATGCTGGAGAAAAAAACAATAATCTTTTTAAAGGTGCACTTGAAGATCTGGAAACCAGGCTCTATGATTAGATCGCTGCGCAGCATAGTGCCGTTAAGTTGAATGCCTTGCATGTAGGCATGATACAGTGCTTCCACTCTTTCGTATTTTTACGGAAATCCATACTTTCTGCCAGTTCCGTACTTGTTCCTCCATCATTATCAACTCCGTCCATAAAAAAACTGCGACAGCAAAAGATCCGTACTCGCCTTGGTATCGTCTTGTATAAGTTACGGATATTTACGGTAATTCTCTCGGCAATAAGTTAATGTTATAGAAACCTGCCAGATTGTGCATTTCATGTAATCGGCCATTATTCTGCTATGCGCCGTGCATTCATTGTGGGTTGATCGTCAAAATCTGGCAAACTTTTTGTGCCAATTTCTTCCTTTCTATCATTCACTCATTCATTCTGTCTATCTTTGGATTGTTGCCGCGGCTGGAAAACCTGCGTGTTGATCAAGTAAATTGACTTGTGATCTTAGACAGAAAATTACAGTCAGAAAAAATCTTCTTTTTTGCAAATTTGTCTAGATATAGAGAAATTATCAATGCGAAGATTCTACGGCACATGAACGCGACAAGGGCCGCGATGAAAGAAATTTATGCTAAAGCTACTAAAGTCAAGAATAATTCGAAGTGGTGTTTCGAGGTTGTGACATGTGACATTCAGACGTGAAAATTGAGGAAAATTAGGGTATACGCTGGGTAACTGTATTGTGAAGGTACATAAAAATATCTATTCATTATTCCCAGGTTTGCCTTCTATCAATGGTGCGATGACAAATTAATTGAATTATAGCAGCATTGGAAGGGGGATCTGCTTTAAACATTGACAGCAATGGAAAGATTTGTAGGTGAAGAAATCGAACCAGCAAAATGTTGGTGGAAAAATAAATGATATGGGCTGCAGGCAATCTCTTCAAACAGGCTCCCTAATGCCATTTTCAACCCTCTAAAAGTACTAAATTAAAATTTCTTCGGGTGCTTCGCTCAGCTTCAACTGGTGGAAGCACTGATGACAGCTTGTCTACTTACTTTACTTTACTTACTTTTTCCTTCCTCTGGTATCCATAAGATGTCAAGGGGAGGTACAGGTTTCGGTCCTTTGCTAAGTGCGTGGCGTCTGTAATTGATATGTTGTTCCAGGACCTTTTTAACCCCATCCAGCCAGTCTTTCTTGATCTTCCTCTTTCTTTGATGCCGGATTCACAGGTGTGGTAAGCTCTAGCCGCTAGTTGTTTCTGGGGCGTTCTGGTTAGATGTCCGAACCATTTGACTCTTTTATGCTCAATGAAATTTATTACTGGTGATACAGTGGTCTCCGCCTAAGATCCCACCACATACGATCCCGGTTCGCTTAACATCCTGCTGTTTTAAGAAAACAGAATTTTCACTATACCAAAGTCACCCCTAAGATCCCGCTCTGATTCACTCTGAAGGTCTACATTCGGCTAAGATCCCGCATTTCAGATCATAATTTGGGGAACAAAAACCCGGGCGGGACAGCCGATCAAGCAAGAATGAAAAGTTGAGATCAATAAACTGTCCTTTCCATCAAAGATCAGCCACTATCGTGAATATGATCACATATGCGTTGTAAAACTCGGTGAAGCGATACAATGTTTGCCCCAGATGGGATCACACCGAGGTGTGAACTGACGAAACGTTTGTTTTCCCCACACATCACACTCACACCTGACCTCTCCCCCTAAACTTCACTCGCTGGGTGGGTAGGGCCTACACGTACCCTCCAGGTGGGATCACATCAAACCGTGAACTCTTCCTTGACCATTGCAGCAGTTGTTTCTACTCCCGAATTTGCGAGACAGACTGAATTTTAATTGGTGTGTTCACAATGTAATGGGTGTAACGACAAAGGCAGTTTGGGGGGGGGGGGGGGGGGGAGACACGGTCAGAGATGGAAAGCTATAAATTTTCGAGAGGTAAAAGGGAGGGGCAACTGGATAAGCATAGATTTTGAGACTCATAATAAGATAAGTGAAAATGGCACGCCTCATGCCACTATGCACTGTGATAGGTCATCAAGGTTAACCACTCTTTGCTCGCCATATGCCATAAACCCACCAAGCGGTCACGTCAGTTCATTTTAGAGTGGAGGGAGACCATTTTACCGATTGTGAGCCTTAACATGGGTCACCATAGATTCTTCCCTGGGTTCGTCTGTTAAGATCCCGGTTCGCCTAAGATCCCGCATTTCCTTGCTCCCGAGCACCGGGATCTTAGGCGTAGACTACTGTATTCCGGTTTGTAGGCGTATGGTCTCGTTCCTTATGCGGTCTCTTATAGTGACATTGATGGTTCTACGGAGACAACTCATTTGGTATGCATTGGTTTTTCTTTCCTGTGCTTTGTTTAGGGTCCATGTTTGGCACTGGTATATATTAAGGTCGGTATGAAGATGCTTTTGATGAGCTGGGATTTCACTTCGGTTGGGATGTTCTTCACGGCGCACCGGCAGAGGAATTTTAGTAGCCGCGGGGGGTTCACCGCAGGGCGCCTTATCACGTCGGGGTCATGGGGGTCAGCTCCCTGTCGCCGCTCTGTCTGGGCCGACTTAATTTTTGGTACTTTTCAACGTACAATTTTAGGTGTATCCTTGTATTTATGGTAAGTTTCATATAGTGCACCCAAAGCACGCATTTCTACTCTTGAGACTCAAAAAAGAACGGACGTTGTAACTTGTCTGGTTATTTCGTTAGACGCGCTGGAGTCGGCAATGCTAAATTGTAATTTTTTTTTGACTAGCGTGAATGAAAAAAAATCAATATAAAAAAAAAGGCCTCGTCAAAATCTGTCGAACTTTTGGAACATGAACGACGTAACATTGGTGCAGATACTCAGAAAAGATGGTATCTGCACATATAATAGAAGGCTGTAATTTTGCAATTTTATCCATCGGGCACACATTTCGCTATGAAGTAATTCCTCCAAATACAACTTTATGTGTCTAATATAATCGCGAATATTCGCATATTTTCTCGAAAGTTTATAAAAGTTACGATGAAGTTTGTCTATGAAAAGTACAAATCGATTTTAGTGCTAGAATACATATACAACGTAGATCTAATACACGAACAGTATCTGTTACACTCCAGAAATTCCTTACTTTTCTTAAAACGCTAAGTCTAGGTTTTGTAAGTTGACTGAATAATAGGAATGACTTCTCGTAATTGGGTTATAAGAATAATTTCTAGCTTTCCAGGGAGACTGAATCAGCACCAGACTTTTCCAGTTTTTTTTCCGTTTCTATGACCATTTGCAATAACTGACAATGTGACTGATTTCTTTACATTCATAATTGTGTCCGCGCTAATTTCCTACACAAAAACAAAGAATGAATGTTTTAGCTGTCATTATTTTTATTCCATACAAGAAGTTTATCTCTACCCATGTATTTACACGGTTTTGTGGTTTTTTAAATTGCTTATATTATATCTTTTTAGTTGTATGCAGGCTACCACAGACACAGCATGATACATGAACAAACGCAGAGTAACTTTCTCTTGTTTAATAGTAAAATAAGAGCTAACGCTGATCGTCTTTAGTTAAAAAATGCAGATGTGCATCTTTCTTCTCTTATAACTTGACTATTACTACTCGCGCAGATTTAAGATTTCTCATGGTAAAATACATGATATTCGTAGTCAGTTTAACACAGATTTTGGAGAGATCTGTCGAGCCTTTTTAAAATTAACAATCACTTATTCATAAGTGTGTAACTAAAATAGGACAAATTGGGTACTCTACAAACACTTGTCTATAACAAAAACTAAAGCACAGAAATTAACCATTCTAATGCAGAATAAATCTCAAGACATTGAGCTTTTAGTACAGCTGCGTAATGGTTTGCTATGTGGGATGGGGAAGAAGTTATATCGTTTTAAACATTGTCAAAAATGCAAACTTCCTGACCAACACCGGCAAAGTCGCTTCAGGGCTCATTAACCCCGTGAACCCGAGCCGGGGAGCTCCGGCGGGCTGCTGAGTCACGCGAACTAAAAGTAACAGAATCGGGCAAAAAGTGACGCCGTGTCTTGTGACTGAGCAGGGGTGCAAGCGGGTAGGTCATACATTTGCCTTCATAGTTCTTGTTTCTTACTCTTTGACCATACGCCCATCTTGTGTGAAGATGCTTCCCAAATATTAAAATTCCTGTACTTGTCGGAGTTGTGTTCCGTCAATAAGGATGTTGAGTTTCCCTGGGTTTCTGCTGCCCTTCATAACTTCAGTTTTTGAAATTATGGAGATATTCGTGTTTAGGTGTTTACATTCCTCAATTAGTTTTGTGGTGTGTTTTTTTGTAATTTCTCTTCATCTGTATTTAATATACTCTGGTCATCAGCAAATAAAAGCTCGTTCAGTTCAGGGATGTTGTCATTTGCTGCTTTTGTGATCTTATCTATGTAAGTGATGAAGAGAAGTGGAGAGAGAACACACCCTTGTCTCACCCCCAGACTTGATGGGGAACCAATCCGATAGTCCCTCTGTTGTTCTTACAGCGCACAGGCTGTTTTCATAAAGTGCCATGATGTTCCCCAGCAATTGTCCTGTTGCATCATATTCCGCTAAGACTTCCAAAAGTTAACTTCTAAGAGTATTTACCCAGTTGAACGCTTTTTCCTGGTTCTCGAAGACAATGTTGAGGTCTTTGTCATGTGCAATGGCAGTCTCACAACTGTGTTAACTCATTTGGGACGTAGGTTTTAGACCAGCTTCGCACCCAGAGACGCGCGATTTTGGGTCAACTTTGAAAGTCTGCCATTTTTTTCCCTTTTGATGTTTTTAAAGCCTGTTTTCACTATCTAAACGTTCAACATTTGTACTTTGCTGTAGATCTAATTCAATTTACCTGAATAGATTCCTTAACTTGTCTTGACCCCTTCAAAAATGGTGTTTGGGACCCCCCCAAAAAGTGTTTTCCTCTTCGTTGACAGTGAAGAAATGCAAAAACAAACAGGATAAAGTTACAAGACAACTACAATGCTGCTAAAAACGCATCACAACACAATCTACAATCCGAATATTGTGAAGAAATAGTTCCAGTCGTTGTGAATAGTCCTTCTTTGTATAGTACTCCTCGAAGATTAGTGTTCTTTATCTCCTCAACTGCCTCCATTAATTGCCACAGAAAATTAAGAAAAACAACGCTATAAGGGCAAGAGTAAATACATACAAAATAGAATATGGCTTAACAATGTCTAACAAAAGTTTGTTCTGTGGAATACCTTCATTTGTGCAGCCACAACGGTCGAGAAATGCTATCGGACGTATATGTCCGATGCGTCAGCGGAGCTCAAGGTTATCGGACGTATACGTCCGATGCGTCCTGAATGAGTTAATGCAAAAATGGCGTCAGTACAGCCCCTGCCTTTTCTGAAGCCAAACTGGGCTTCACTGAGTTGAGTCTCTACAATTGTCACTGTATTTTAAACGTGGATGATTAAAACAGGTTTTGTGATTTAGCTTTTTTAAAAAAAAAACAATAGCCTTCATAGTCTGTGATGTAATGGTTGCCAGATTTTCAGTGTCACTACCTGCCCTGCTCTCATATTCCGTCCAATACCAGCACTCGGTACTTTCTCTCTTACCCTGCCACTTTGCGCTCTGCTGTGAGCCCAACTAGAAAGTTTTTTTTCTTTAATATGTTTTGTCATGCATGCGTTTCAAAATCCGTAACATCCTGAAACCCAAACATGGTTTTGACAGCTGATGTTCCGGCCTTTCCATTGGATGAGATCAGGACTCCTTTTTTTTTTTTTTTTTAAATTGTTAAAAGAAAACAAGTTAATATTGTCTGTCATACCTAAGTCACACAGTGGCCTATTGGATATGTCATTGTCAGAAAATATGTTTTATTATAGTCTTTATTGGTATGGGCTTTAGGTTTTTAAGTTAGTTTGGCATTCAACCCAGGCAGAAATCCACATTCAGTACTGATTGATAGGTACCTTGGACAACACTCCATGAATGTGAAAAAAAAGTAGCTGACTTGTATATTACCTCCTCTGTTTTTCTTTGTATGTCACTCTTCACTAATACCTCTAATCTTTGGCCCTTCTATGACCTATTTGTGTTACAAGTGCTGTAAAACTCTTACTACAACTAAATTAAACTATGCTTAAACTATGGAGGATTGTGTTTATTCTTCCATCAGACTGTTGAAGTGGTGAAGGGCTTTGGCCTGCCATGTGATGACATGTACCAGAGAGTGCTTCACTTCTCGCAGGATGGCAAGGACGATCTCTCCATGTATTCCAAATTAATGCAGGTGATTCATTACCTATTTTTTGTCCTACCTGTTGTATAAGGGTAAAAGTTATTGAATCTGAGAAAGCTGGTTTTACCAGACACTTGGAAAACCCTGCTACTTTTTCATCTTTACAGTCATTTTGAGCTATTTCAATATATTTCCTTTCTTTTTTTCCTGGAATAAATATAATTTCTCCTTGTGCTGTAAAGCTGGGTATGCCCATTTTCATGTGCTTTTCATATCGTTTGCCAAACTAGATTTAAACTGAATACCATAAGAATGTATTCGACTGAGATTTACTGTAACTGAAAATTAATGTAAATTCTTCATTGGCAAGTCGTAAACTGCCTTAAATTTAAGAGTCACTGTGATTTTGAAGGCTTAATCATGGGTTAAGAGACAGGTGTTCCAAGTGTGAAAGATGTAACATTTCGCTTGTGAGCAGCCACAAAAACAACTTGCCTGTGTAAGCTTCATTTTGTACTTGTGGGCAGGCGCAAACTTGTGGGTACCCCCCCTCCCCCCGGGCAGTGCTACTGACTGAAGTGTTTTTAGGCCAGTTCCAAAGGGGGGGATATTAACTTGTTCTTCTGCACAGTAGAATTGTAAATGGGCTGATTTATTAGTGTTGCTCATACTGTGCCGGAACAACATCGGGGGAACTGCTGCTTTCTCTTTCCTCATCCTTGCTATCATCATGTCCTCTACTTCTTTTGTATGTTTGTCACTCTTGTGAACTGCTATTTCCGGGATGCCGTGATAGTCGAAGCAGACTTTGTGCTGTTTAGGCTATAGAGGTAAGCAGAGTAAGCCTGATTTCCCCCATTTAGACTTCTCGTTTGACATCCACCCTTTGGCACTCCTATGACCTTATGCAGTTGTGAGCGCCGGAAAACCTTACTAAAACAAACTAACAAAAGTTGTGGGTTTTTCATGATTATGAAGTGTGATACTCTGCTGTTTTTGAACTCCATTTCATCAGTGTCAATTGAGTGACGACATTTATCTGTCCCCGTCGTTTTATGCAAGAAAAATTCTTAAATTATGCAAACTGAGCCCAAAATTGTGAAATTATGTGATTCAGTTAATTTTAACAAAGAATGATACAGGAAAATAATCAGAAATTATTCAAAAAATGATCAAATTTTGCAAAATTATGCAGTGTGCATAAAACCATGGGGACAGATTTGTTGAAATGGTGTCTCCCTTCCACTGTAGTACTTTGTGATAGCAACAAAACAGTTGGAAAAAACCTCCTCTTTAGTAAATGTTGCGATTCATTTGTTTAGAGAAATCAGAATGTTATTTTCTTTGTGTAAATCATAGTTCAGATATGTATCACCTTTTCTTTGTGTGAACCAAGAAAAAGACAAAAGAAAACTTTGTATTTTTTAAAACTTCAATGTTTTTCTTTTAGTAGATTGGGGGTGGGGGGTGGGGGGGGGGGGGTAATATGCTCTGGAGTGGTTTCCCTCTTCTTTCTTATCTAACATCTGTCATCCTAATCTCTCTTTCTTTCCTTTGTATTTTCCTCTCTAGTAACAACTCTAATCTTCAGCACTTATAAATGACCTATTTGTGCTACTAGTGCCGTGCAACTCTTAAGAGGCTCTCATGGTCTTGAGGTATGGTGTTTGCCTCTCTTCCAATAGGTCTCAGGTTCAACACCTGCCAGCGACGGGAAAATTTTCTTCTCTGAAATGTTCTCCTTTCACCTCCTTTCCTGCTCTCTAATCATCCTTTCCACTTTCCTTTCCCCTGCACTTTCTGCCCCCCCCCCCCCTTTCCCCTCCCTGCTCTGGGCTCCTGACTGTCTACTGCTACTCCTGGCTTCTTCTTACTGCTGTCTTTCAGTCACACCCCTGATCATAGGGTAGGTAAGATCTAACAACCAGCTTTCTCTGATACGGGTGAAAAATCTTGTCAACGTTTAATGGTGGTCCTAGAATTGATAAGAGTGAGCTTCAGCCATCACCCAGGCGAAATTCAAAATTAATTCCTACCAAACTGAAATTGCTTAGTGCATCCCACACGCTCAAATTTATGCAGTTGTGAGCACAGTAAAACACTTATAAAAGAACAAAAGGAAAAAAAAAAAAGAAAGAGAAAATATTAGGCCAGGGCAAGATCGACGACAAAAAGACTCGAGGCCTCGATCCCAAAACTGAAAAAAGATCGAGGAATCGAGTCCGATTTTCGATTTTGGAAGCTGCTTCAAGTGGCCATGACTTGAACACTGAGAGAGAGAGAGAGAGAGATGAGGGAGGGAGAGAGAGAGAGAGAGAGAGAGAGAGAGAGAGAAGGATACAACCCATGGCCAGACTCTGACAGTTCACGATTAGTTCACGATTAGTTCACTCTTGTACATTGTCGCCCTATTCGGGGGTGGGTGTGTGTGTATGTGTGTGTGTGTGTGTGTGTGTGTGCGCGTGTGTGTGTGTGTGTGTGTGTGTGTGTGTGTGTGTGTGTGTGTGTGTGTGTGTGTGTGTGTGTGTGTTGCCTCCCTTCTATCACTCTTGCCAATGCGTGGGGCACAGGCTCCTTCTCTCTTGCACTATCGAGGCCTAGTGCACGCCGAATTCAAATAGTGAAAAAAACAACATAAGTAAACAAAACTCACAAAAATTAATTTAACTTGGTAATCGGGCGTTATAATGGGTTCCATGCGTAATTTTTGCTAATTTTGGGTCGCTGATCACGAAAATCTTATTATTTCTTAAATTTGGCCAATATTTAAGAAATTTTTGGAATGCATTTTTAACTCCGCCTAGGCCAATATCAAAGAAGCCGCCTTATGCGCCGGATCAGTCCCGTCCTGGTGCGGTGTCTGTTTTGAAGCAAAAAACTCGACTGTGGGGTGGGACAGCCCTAGGCCTAGGCCTATCCCATGACAGGACTGTAATAGTGCGGTAGAGATTTAGATTCTTGCCTCGATTCTCGGAGTCTAGGCTAGGAACCAGGTTTAAAAAAAAGGAGACGGGAGGCGTCGACCCTGGGCGGACTCGAAGCTTAGAGTCTGGGAACAAGATCGATTCTTTGAGTCCTCATTTGGACTCGAAAGAATCGGTCCCAGAGTCGATCTTGCCGTGGCCTAGAAAATAGCTCTTTACTACCACTTAGACTATTGTTTTTTCTCCTTCTGTAAATCAGGTGCTGCAGGAGAAGGAGTACATTGACTGGTCGAATCCTGAATGCAAAGCTCTAGTCCTGGTGCGAGAGCGCAAGCAGGCGAAACAACTGTGTCAGCAGCTGCGCAAGCATGAGTTTGTGAGGGACAAGCACAGAGTCTCGCAGCTGGTTGGCCATGGGAAAACGGGGAAAGACAAGGGTATGAAGGTCAAAGAGCAGAAGCAAGTCATGGACAATCACGAAATGTGAGCATATGATAATTGGATGAGCTGTTACTCTTGTGTGTGTTTTGTGTTGTGTTGTGTTGTGTGTTTGGTGTGTGTGTGTGCATGTGTATGTGTACGCGCGCAGTCGAACCTGCTTAAATGACCACCTGTCCAAGACAACCACCTGTACTAACTACCACATCCCACTTATCCTCTGGGTTTCTTTTTTTAATTATAATGACACTGCCCAAGAGGACCACCTGTCTAAGATGATCACTTTTTCTTCTTGACAATGGGCGGCTGACTTGGACAGGTTTATTAACTGTATATATGAAGAAAAACATATAATATACACTTATATGTGTGTGTGTGTGTGTTTGTTTGTGTGCGTGAGTGCGTGCATGAGTGTGTTTAGCAAGTCAAAGAATTAGTTTGGCGCTCATGTGCCTAATGCAGTTGGGAGCGCCATAAAACCTCTACTTAAACAAGAAAGAGAATTTGTGAGGGAATATAAGAGGAGTGTTGGTTATTTTTGAGGTGTGCTGACAAAATGAGTTACTTCTTGGACTTCAGCCCTTTAGACATAGATACATAAAATTTATGGGTTGGGTTTGTACAAGTTATTATATAAAATTATAAAAGACATTCAACTTGAAGAAAAAGGCTTCAGTTAAAAATCAACAAATTTGATGTATTAATTTCCGATCGACATCTCTATTTGTGAATTGCGAGAAATAACTCATTATGTCAGCACACCTCACATTCTTGTAGATTCTGCTCTTTTGGGGTTTCTTTTCTTGCTTCTTCCAAGCTAAGTCTCTTGGATTTGTTTTTCAGAACTCGGTGTGTTCTTGTTCAAACTCTGTTCCAGATTTGCTGGTTAAAAAACCCTGGGTTTTCTTCTCTTTCTCCTCTTTCATTTTCATTTCTTTATTTCTCAGGTGCTTTTTTTTTCTTTGTCATTTCCTTCTTTTAGAATATAATGATATGAATATGGTTTTTCCAGAATGGAAAACTGGTCTGGAAAAAATGTGAGCGTGCCTGGTGAAAGGGACCACATGACTTATTTTGAAGAATCCCGTTTTTTTGCATTTTCATGTACAGAGATCATTTCTCAACAATATGCTTTTTGAATTTTAAAGATATCTTCAGTAGTTTTTGAGATATGGGTGATTTGTAGAGTAGGGTACAGAAACAAAATTTTGAGAAAAACGGCTTTAAAGTTTCCCTTTTGTTTCTGCTTCAAATAGATAGATCTACGCTTCGAGACGACCTGACAACACTTTTGTTACTCACAAACCAACTTTTAAAAGCATTTAAGATGAAAGAACAGCTTAATAGTGTTTATATGTGTCCCTGCCGGTCAATATCAGTCATATGAAGGAAATTTCAAAACTGAGTTAACATTATTTTTAAAAACTATCACCTTTTCCCTACAATTTAAAACAAGAATGAAGTAAATGTGAACATATTTGACGAAAATACAGAACTTTCAATTGTGCGAGGTGAGGAAACATGAAACGGAGAAAATGGCCTCCAAAGTTGAGCAACATGTTTCCATAGCAATGGGGGTCTTAGAATTAAGATAGAGACTTGAAATTTAGCAGTTATCTTAGCTATGCCACAACAAGGTAACATACAGAAGTAGAAAACTATTCATTTACAGAGAAAAAATTTATAGACAAAACAAAATTTCACGAGAATGGACTTCGCCTCAAATGCAACAAAATATTGGCATTACACTAGTTACCAGACACAACTTTTTCAAAGGAGCTGTATGTCAAATTCATCTGTTTCATATGAAAGGCCTATGTCCCCTGAGAATTTTGGTTCCATACTTTTACTGCTCAGTCAATTTTTAAGAGAATGGCAGATGTTTCAGTTTAACATAATAATCAAATATTGCTGAAATCGTTGACTGGCTGCAACCCCATGATTGACAGATAATAAAAAAGTACCAAGTGCACCAAATATCTCTACATTAACAGAGTACAATCATTATAACAAAGAAATGAAGCCTAATTTTTTTCACACTGTGAGATCATTACAAATCAGTATTTTGTTGCCTCAAACACAATGATCGGTCGTTATTTCAATTAAAACACCGAGAGTTGTCTCGGCCGGCGTCGCACCAGCCTTTGCAGCGAGCGAGTCGACTCAATACTGTAGTGTACTGAGTGCTCGCGGTAGTTTCGCGGAATGATTCATGCAAAATAATTCCAAGTCGATGACTTTATTCTAATAGAAAAAGAACTGTTTTTTCTATTGATACCTTTTTTAGCCGGTATTTTACACTTTACGTGTTAAAAATGATCTTTGAAAATCTTAGACACTTTTTTAAAGGTTTCTATCCAAACGCTCAAGGCCAAAAATAATAACCACGGTAAACCACGCTTTAAGATGTATGGTTCTCCCCCCAATGAAAAGACGGTATTTAATCATCAATCTTTGTGCAAAGCATCGAATGCATGGGTGTCAATTTTGAACCGGCCCACCTCGCATTCCGACCACGAGGGGCTTCCCTTTCCACGGCGATTCTCCAGCTCATACTCGGATTACTTACACTATTGTAAAGAAGGAAATCGGAACTTTTTCAAAGTGTTCAGCATTTGGTGTTTATAGCAAAAAAGCAAAGAAACAGATCTGAATTACCCCCCATTTTACCGAAACCACACGGAAGGCCTTGAGTCGGCTTACGTGCCGTGTTTGCGCTACCTAATTATACGTTTGCAATAGCACGATAAACACACGAGAGCATACACACTCACACACGCACACACACACACAAAAACCCCCACACACATATACAAACCCACCAACACACATATACACACATGCACATAGACCGCCTTGCTGGCCTCTTGGTAAGTAGTCCACTTTGAGAGATCAAGACGAAGGTTAATTAATCTTTTAAAAGCACTAAAACACAATAAAAACAAATTTTTAAAGTCAACCAAAGTGTAAAACAGATATATCAACAGATGATAACAGCTGGCAGGGCACGCCCACACAGTCAGCTGTTTACGTAAACAAGCTTGAAGTGAGCTAGAAGTTACAGTTTTTACTTCATTTTTCCAATCAGAGTTCTCTACATTTCAGACCAATTATGCTCGAAAAGGGGTCAAAATCTTAAAAAAGTTACGAATGAAGAAGGTTGAAGTAAAGGTACTCCAATGTGGAGTATCTTTGGTTGAGGCAAAGGTGGCCATGAGGTAATGGTTCTAAAAATAATCTCACAGCTACACACTAGCAAGGTCCAAATTCCTTTATCTTGTCACCCAAGCTCACAACAAACGATGCATGCCTCCAAAATAAATCAAAATAAAATATATTTATAGTTGATTAAAGTTGTTTATTTTTATCTTATATGAAGCAGAAGACATCAAACTTTCAATATATCCAAAAAACAGAAATTTCATGGAAAGTCACTTTTTTGCCTTTCGAGCCTCTTAGCTAATACAAATGTGCGTCTTACGACTGATATTGACCGGGGGTGACAGATATTACGTCTTCAAAACAAATTCACCACCACTTTGAGCAAGAGTTTTCAAGAAATAGGTCTAGGTTTGCTCAGGGCAGAAAAATGCGATACAAGTTTGCTCTCCAAAAAGGCGAAAGGGTATGAATGCGCAAATCTTCACTTTGTTTACATGTTCTAGATATTCATGTGCACTACCTGCAACTAGAGAGAGGAGAGAATGACCTAAATTTTGGTATGCAATGTGATTGGGTCAACTTTATGAATGGACAAGAGAAACCATCTGCAGTATGTACTCGGGAAAACCAATTTTTATAGGCATTTTTGGGGATTATGCAATATACCTCGTGATAAAAATCTTTATAAATGTATTTTAAAGTACAAGAAACTCAAGTCCCTGTAAATATCGATATATTAATGGTTAAAGAATCCATTTTTGTTAATGGAACTTAATTTTTTTTAAAAATTCTATTTTTGACCTTTGAAGCCTGATATCTCGGTTCGAGCAAATGCGTCTTGTAGTCCCTTTCACCAGGCACGCACACGAATATAAAAAAACTGAATGAAGACCCTTTGCTGTTAACTTCTCGTAGGTGCTTCTGACATTGGCTTCAGAAAGTATGCAGTGTTATTATTCTTTGCTAGTCATGCCCTTTTCAAGTAAAAATAACATATTTGATATTTACAGTTGTAAAAATATTGTTTTAAATGGTATGACATACAACTGCACTTTCATATTTATTCCTTTCTTCTCTCTCCAGAATTGATATCATCGTCGCCACTTCCATAGCGGAAGAAGGGGTTGATTTTCAGGCTTTGCAACTGGTGGTGTGTATGAATCCACCTACAAGTGTCACAGCTCTTGTGCAAATGCGTGGTCGTGCCCGACGAAAGGGCAGCTTTTTTGTCATTCTGTGCAGCAGCGAACAGGAAGTTGAAAAGTTGAACACCCTGGTGAGCCAGGAGGAGAGAATGCAAGAGGCCTCCAAGAGATGTGCTGCAGAAAATGAGCTCTGTGAAAGAGAGGAGAGCTGAGGAACCTTGGGGAGTTTGGAGATTACCCCAGAGCTTTTATGTCTCTTGTCTTTGCCACCTTCTGGACTGGAGAAGTGGATATTTGGGGTGAATCTAGGTGCCTGGTGAATGCCTCTCTCAATGCTGTGATAAATACCTACTTGTGAGTTCTAGATTGTCCATCACTGGATCTTTGTGGAGATGGACTTCAACTCTTTCATTACTACTCTCACCTATTTGTTGTTTGGGCTTGCATTATTGAGAAGTAATTATGACTGAAGGCAGTGGCCAACCACCCCTGGTAGTGTGTGAGTTTAACTGCAAGCTTGACTTCAATACATTTCGAAAGAGAGCCAGGCTTTTTATTGAATATTATTGCATTTTTTAAATATTAATTTAGACCAATACAGTCAAACCTGCCCTGACGGCCACCTCTATAAGACGGCCACCTGTACAAACGGCCACTTTCCATTTCCCCCCTTGCGTTTTTTCTATATAATTTAACTGTAAAACGGGCACCTGTACAACGCGGCCGCGGCCACAATATTTTAACACTCAACCCTTATAACACTAAGCAATAACACCTGCCTTAGACGGCCACCTTAGTGACTCCATTACGTTTTGTCATAAATTGTGCATTGGCCCCTGGCGTGGTGGGAGAGCCGTCATAATTCAATACCCTGTCGTTGTTGTTAGGTAGTCCCTCCAACCGATCATGTTGTGTAGGCCCCTCCCACTATTGACCAATAGGTACCAATTTTCAGCTGCTGGTGAGGTAAGCGTGTGATCCCTCGTAACCCATAAGCCCCGCCCAGAACTCATACACAAATCGTAAGTGAGATGAGTGGTCACTGTTTATCCAGTCTGTTTCAAAGTAACAAAGGATGTGTACATGAACTTGCGACAGAAGCGTTGCTCGTTCTCCGAGTGGTGGCGACCCATGTTATTGTTCTAACAAGACACTCGGTCTTCCTCATCTGATACATTTAGTTTTATTGTCACCCTTGCGCAAAATCAGCGACAAAGTAAAAATTACAAACAAAATACAAACCAACAACAACAACAAATACAAAAAGGATACCTTCGATTGGGACCTCAGATGGGAATGGTTTGTTTTCTTCATCTTGATTAGTCCTGCCTAAGACGGCCACCTGTCTTGTACTGCCACTTTTCTCCATGACAATGGGTGGCCGTCTTACACAGGTTTGACTGCACTTGTGTCTTTACTTTCACCAATGTTGCCATGGTTTATTTCTGCGGTATTATTTCCTTATGAGGATATAATTGTGCTAATTGTGTAAGCTTAATATCCTTTGTTATAAAATTGTGATATCCGTATGACTTTGTTTTTACATTACAAAATTTGGCTTTATTTGATCTTTTTTTGTTGATTGTTAGTGAATTGTTTTTTCCGAGTTGAATTCCCAGTTTTTTTTCCCTAAATGTATAATGTATTTTTCTGTTCTCCTTGGGATTTTTTTTTTTTTCGAATCCCTTCAATACTAGTTTGACGTATGGCACACATTCTGAAAATGTACGTTGATCACCATGGTACCGTTGTTCGTCTTATGTTATGAAAGTAATAAAGATTCCCATTCTTCCGAGTCCATATATTGTTAATGTCACAAGAAAAGTACCGTACTCAACTCCATTAACCTTCACGTGATAGGGTGAACAGAAAAATAGGATTTGCTCATTGTTCTTGCGACAGTGGGTGCACACTTTGTGAAAGTAGCTCTCATAGGCCAGGGACAGTGTTGTTAAATTATTATGAATAAGATTGGGACTTTTGGAAGTGGTTGATTAAATGATTGCTTGTATGATTCATGATGATTGATATAATATAAAAAAGCTAAAAGTGCGCCCTTACAAGCTTTAGTAAATTAATTTTGTTGAATTATTCACTTGATTTGTCAAAGTTCATTCCCATGTGTTTGAACCTGCATTCTTTTAGTTTTAAGGTCTGCTGGCTGATGATCCAGCACAAGGCCAGTTGTGCTCGAGTGGTATTGCTCGAGTGCTGCTCAAACATTAATATATATGTTTTAAACCGTAAGTGCTTGCTGTTTAGGGGGAGGGGGGAGAATTTGCTCTAGATTAACTTCAACAATGTCTCCTGCTCATCTTTCTTAGAATGTGTACTTTGTCTAGGGTAGCGTATGAGGAGAGAACTGTCTTTGATTATTTTTCAAATATAAGCTGTGAAGGTCAAACTTACAGTTTTCCTAGACAGTTTTTCATTCCAGGTGTTTTAGGGGTGTTTTTGGTTTGTTTTGTTTTTAAATTAGAAATTACTAACCTATATAAAAATATGTTGCCCCTGCTGCCATCCTATAGACTGACAATTTAATGTTTGGAAATGAAGATTTTTGCCTTTTCAGCAGTAAGACTCGAATTTGATGCCCACCTCAGGTTCCATAGTAACCTTGCTTTGAGACAACAAGTGCAGCTCTGTCTGTGGGAATAATTGTTAGTTGTAAGATATCCATATATCAAAATGAAGACTTCAGTTTGAACTTTCTTAATGTATACAGTCAAAGCATTCCACCAGAATTTTTTCTTAACTTCGAGACCAGTTTTGAGACGTAATGTGTCAATTAATGGTATTGAAATGTTAAAGTCCACTTTCATAATTCATGTCAACGTGCAAAAGAAGTTATGTCTAAAAGTGCAAGTTGTCTGTATTTTATGATTTATTTGTGATCGCTTTAGTGTATGCTGTCAGTAATTTTTTTTTTTAAAGCCAAGGCTTGGCTTCTTATGCAGATTTCCAATAATAAAATATCTTTCTTTTAGATTGGAATGAAGTGCATGCCTTAAATTTTCATGGTGGCAGGGGCTGCATAATGACTGGTAGAGGGACTTTATCCATTATAACTATTTGAGTGATTTAATCTATAAAAAAAAACCCAGACTCCTTTTAAGTACAGGACAACCAAACTGCCAGAACCAACACTTTTGAAGGCAGGGGTAAAATGGAACTGAAGTCACTTTGAAAAGTTAACCTAATAAGGTACTTTAATGTATTTCACTGAAATGAACCACAATGCCCTAAAATATGACAATAATGAGATTCTTATGTCTCAGGTGCCTAGAGATTTTGCTCTCAGTAGCTTGGCTGACATTTAGTGAATGGCCCTTGGGTGGGCCAAAGTGAGAGATAATTAAGGGCTTTTTTCACAGTCATGACCAGTAAACAGTATGTAATGAACGGTAATGTGCATCACCGTTGCTGACACTAAATTTTTATTGTTCTCTTGGAACTAGAGTGATCATTGTAACCATTGTCATGTGCTCTGCCTTATTAATAAACGGTTTCCCCACCACCTATCCGTGTGCTGATTGAGTTCTTCCATTAAGATGAAGACCATGGATATCGGACTTAAAAATCGTTTAAGAATTTAAACGAAAGAAAAGAAAACAGGTTGTTACATTGCTATGGCAAGTTTGGATGTCAATCGCAAGTGGGAATTTTTTGTTCATCATACGTTTAATTTGCTTGCCCAATATGATTTTGTTGCTTTTTTGTCATTAAGAGGATGGGCTTCAAGCACAATTTTTTTTTCTTTTCAGGTTGCTTTATTTGAGTGAGAAAAATACAATTTTTACCGTTTTTACCCTTTGCCTTTCTGTGAGAGAGAGAGAGAGAGAGAGAGAGAGAGAGAGAGAGAGAAAGAGAGGGAGAGAGAGAGAGAGAGAGAGATCTTGTTATCTTTGGAGATCTATGGATGGCTGGTAGCTGCTGTTGTGCAGTCTGCTGTATCTTCTTCTGTTTCTTTGTCACTATTGTTGTTGTAGGCCTATGCATGGGGAAAAGATGTCTGTATGGTGCCAACTTGAGATGGGCCTTATCAGAAATGACTTTATATTGCTTTACATTACGCTACTTTAGAATTACAAAGCTCTATCTGCTCAGTACCGAGTTTTAAGAAATTTGTGGTAAACAATGTGGAGTTTCACATCATGTCAAGCTTTTTTGAATGCAATTCTTTGAATATCTTGATAACGACTTGAAGTAATCTTACGATTTTGATAGAGCAGATAGAACATTAGTTTTAGGCACGCATATGACCTTTTTAAACTTTTTATGTTGCAAGTGTCTTAAAACTCACACTAAAACTAAAAACAGACTGTGTCACAGGATCAAATTTTCTCCAATCAGACTAAAAACTTCTTTATTTATTTTACTAAAATTCTGTGTGTGTGTGTGTGTGTGTGTGTGTGTGAGTGTGTGTTTTGTTGTTGTTGTACCTTATCTGCTGCTGTAACTGAACCGAACGATACATAAATATTGTATGTTTCAACTTGCAGGGATTAAAGACTTGTGGGCTTCACTTTGAGCAGAGAAAAGTTTGCGCATTTCAAAGACTTTCTTTTCCTGGAATACTGTCATTCTTTCTTGCTTCAGAAAATGTATTTTTTTGGTGTTTATGTACTGTCTACCTGAATTGATTGGACAGTGCTCATATTTGTTTCCTAGTGTCATAGAGTGCTATTTTATGCTATTTATTTTTATTAATAATTTTTTGTCCAGTTATTTGTTTCTTTTGTGTTGTGATCCCTGTAGATCAGAAAGAGAGACTGGTGCACTGTCGGCGCCGGCTGTTGTATAGTACAACGGTTTGCCCTTCTCTCTTCTGATTGTTATTGTAAATGTTCCTCCATTGGAACAATTTAGATATTGAGTAGGCAGGTTCTTTGACCCTGCCTGTTAGGACCAACCCAAGTTGAGAGAGATGTAACATCTCAGCAGCAGGAGATATTTGATAAAAAATACCCCAAGCAGGAAATTGAACTATTGTCTCCTGCATGCGATGGGAAAGGGCCTAACTGCTACACCACAGATGTTCTAGACCGCTCTTCTGACACTGAGAGCTAAGCAGACACCCACACTATGCAATATTTCTGTTAAACAATAAATGCTTACCGTGGCAGGATAAGCCAGCTTCAATGAACTCGGCAGCTTGCTGGGAGATTGCAGAGACAAGTCATAGTTCATCATATCAGTTGCTCCAATGCCCAAAAACTGGATGTTGGACCGTTGGTACATCACATGGTTCGTATTCACATGAAAGGCAGTTTTCCCCAGAGCAGCATTCAGAACATGAGTAATTCCCAGTTTTTTCATGGAACCAATTCTTTTGGCAGAATCACTGAAAAAAATTTGACAGGTGATAGCTCAATCTTTAAGTCACTGGGATTAAAGTCAGAAATTTGCTCCAAAAGTGCCCATTTCACTTCATGACATGGACCCAGTTAGGCTTTTTGCTTTAGCATGTAGAAGATTTGAAATAGATTCTTGTGTGGGGTGAAATTTTATTATCTCAATCTTTCTTCCGTCAATATTTTCATGTGGAGTGAATTTTCATTGAGTTTCTCAGTCTTTCTGAGGCAGATTCCCGTGTGGGATGAATTTTTATCGAGTATCTCAGTCTTTCTGCTTGGATGTTGTGTCCCTCTTAGCTCGGGTTGACCCATACAGACAGAGTTGAAGCAGCCTACCTTTGTAAATGATCTAAATTATGTTGATGAATTCTATTTAATGCTAATGACTAGAAATAGAAAGTATTGCTGTTCACTAGTTCATGTTTCTTTCCTGCTAATTAGTATTATTTTGCTTATTGTCCTATTTTGTCTGGCAACTGCTTTATAGTTTTGATTATGATCTTTTCTAAAGCTTGCATGGCAGAGGACTGGCGTCTGTGGTGTAGACATTAGGTGCTTTGCCGTGCCATGGAGACGATGTGAGTTCAACTCCTGTGCGGGGAGAATTTTCATCGAGTTTGACAGGCAGGGTCGAAACAGTTGTCTTGTAAATGACCAGAACTGTGTTGATAGGAGCATAAATATTTACAATATGTATGGAAAGTTTTTATTTTTAATAACTCCAATTGCTCTGCCTTGGATATGTTCTTTATTTTGTGTCCATAATGGCATCAACAATGGGCAAAACCAAAGGAACTGTCGGTAATTCCTTTTTCCCATCACAAATTGATTATTCTAGGGGAGAGGGGAATACTTCTCTTTTTTTGTCAATGGTAGCAAACAATTTTTCTCTACCTTACAGATCTGATGGTCCAGTAAGTCGAAGAAAAATTAGCAGAATCTGGTAGGAGTTGAAGATGATGTCTATATTTGATGAAGATCGGCCTTGTTCAGTTCAAGAACTACAGGATATTCTCACTGCACCCTCCCATGGGATGGCCATGATGCCAAGTACAGCCTTTGATGAAGTTTATGAAGGGATATTTATTGGCGAGGGGTAAGTACACATTGATCTCTTTTCATCCTTGCTCCATGGGTGGTTGATGGGTTTTCTGGTGATGTTTGATAGGAAAGAAGGAGCAAACCAACCACACCTCTAATTAATTATCATGATTGTGTCGATGGGGGGTGTAAAAACACCTTTGCCAAACATAAAAGATGGCTTTTCACAAAAAGGCCATTTGTTTAAGATGACCCTCTCTCTCTCTCTCTCTCTCTCTCTCTCTCTCTCTCTCTCTCTCTCTCTCTCTCTCTCTCTCTCTCTCTCTCTCTCCCTCTCTCTCTCTCTCCCTCCCTCCTTCCCTCCCTCCCTCCTTCCCTCCCTCCCTCCCTCCCTCCCTCCCTCCCTCTCCCTCTCTCTCTCTCTCTCCCTCTCTCTCTCTCTCTCTCTCTCTCTCTCTCTCTCTCTCTCTCTCTCTCTCTCTCTCTCTCTTTCTTCCTCCTTCTCCCCCTCCCCCCCTCCTTCTCTCACTCTCTCTCATGCACACACAAACATGCACACACAAACAGACACAAGCGCAAACACTTTTTCACTCTGCTTCTCTTCTCTCTCTCACCGTCTCCCCCTCTGCCTCATACTCACACACGCACTCACACACGCACGCACACACGCGCGCGCATGCACACACACACACACACACACACACACACACACTCACACACACACACGCACAACTTAGTAAGCTTTTGGAACAAATTTCTGGCTTTAATCCCAGTGACTTAAAGATCGTGTTGAGCTATCACCTGTGAATTTTTTTTCAGTGATTCTGCCAAAAGAATTGGTTGCATGAAAAGACTGAGAGTCACTCATGTTCTGAATGCTGCTCTGGGGAAAACTGCCTTTCATGTGAATACGAATCATGTGATGTACCAACGGTCCAACATCCAGTTTTTGGGCATTCCAGCAACCGATATGATGAACTATGACTTGTCTCAGCACTTCCAGCAAGCTGCCGAGTTCATTGAAGCTGGCTTGTCCTGCCACGGTAGGTCCTACTCATACTCTATGCTTTTTCTTGGCATACATTGCAATTAGAAATATAACTTTTTTTGGTTCTCATAACAAGTGCAAGCGACCCTTCTCTTGGATTCCTGAATAACTTTTTCAAATGTGCAACTCATATGTGGGCTTAGCGCACTTACTATTTATTATAATCTTGACAGATCCTATTCAGTTTCAAAATGTTTACAGATCTTTTGGCAGCACTGGTGTTGACAGCAATTTTGGAGGTGCTCAAATACTAATATTATAATGCTGACAAGATCTTTTGAATCAATGGCCCAGCAGCATAGCAACGTCCCACATTCAGACTGGACGGGGATTTAACCACACAGTGACTTTATGGCTGCGATTCCAGCAGCCTGACCACTAGTAATTGTAATTGTAATTCTTTTTTAGTTGGTAAGTGTTTCACGGCGCTCAAAACCGCATAAGGTCATATGAGTGCGAGGGTCACACCAAACATTTTCAGTTGGTAGGAAATTTTGAATTTCGCCCGAGTGGCTGCCGAAGCCTACTCTCATCGATTTTAGACATCCAAAGGATCTTTAACGTGCACAACTTTCAGACTGGACCTCCGAGATATTTTGCCCTTTTCCGAAAAGGCTAGATGTAGATCTTTCCTACCAAAAGATCAAGGGTGTGGCTGAAAGACAGCAATAAGAAGGAGCCAAGGAGTTGCAGTAGAAAGGATGCATAAAGAGTCAGGAGCCTGCCAGAGGAGGGGGCAAAGCCGGGTGGAGGCAGAAAGTGGAGACGAAAGCAGACGACAGAACATTGCTAGAGAGCAGGAAAGGAGGTGAAAGGAGACAATTTTAGAGACCAAAGTTTTTCAGTCGCTACCCGGATTCGAACCTGGGACCTTTGAATGAGAAGCGAACATCTTAACTTCTAGGTCACGAGAGCCCCCCCCCCCCCGGTATTTAGTCGCCTTGAAGCACGGAGAGTTTTCTCTATAACCAAACAAACATACACACCAATGAAACCAACCTTTCCCTATAGGTAGGGCAATGCCCACTTTTGGTGTAGGTCAAGGTTTCTGGAAACCCCCGAAATCTGGGTTAGCCCGCTTGTCATTAAAAGCGACCAATTGTAATTGTAGATGTTTTAAGCCCCCATTGACATAATAAAGGTAATTTACGAAGCAGGCGGGTTCTACCCTGCCTGTCTGGGGGGGAACCCAGACTTACAGGTATAAAATATATGAAGAGAAAGACCGAGGTACAAGAGGATAATTTTCCCTACACAGGAATCAAACTCATGTCTTCTGTGTGGGATAGTGAATGGAGTTAACAGCTACACCACAGACCCTAGTCTAACCACCAGCAACATTGTGGTTTGCGGCATATTTTCCCTATAATGAACATAATAATAGAAATAAAAACAAAATCAGTTTTTATGTCTCTTGGAAAAATGCTTTTAGGAGACAACCATTTTATTTTGGTCACCATTGATGTTTTGTATGATTTAGTGCTTTCACGGATATTTGGGGTCTTTTGGTCTAGAGGTATGGTGCTCGCCTCTCATTCAATAGGTCCCGGGTTTGAAACCCGACAGTGATAATAAGTTTTCTTCTCTAAAATTCACCTCCTTTCCTGCTCTCCTGTCATGTTCTGTCATCTGTTTTCATCTCCAGTTTCTGCCCCCTTCCCCCCTCCTCAGGGTTCCTGACTCTGTGTACTTCTCATGCCTCCTGGCTTCTTTTTACTGCTGTCTTTCAGCCTCACCCCTGATATTATGAAGAGTAAGATCGAACACCTAGCTTGCTTGGATAAGGGCGAAAAAAATCTTGGAGGTCCCATATGCAAGTTGCGCATGTTAAAGATTCCTTGATGGTCCTAAAGTCGATAAGAGTAGGCTCCAGCCGCCACCTGGGCAAAATGTGAAAACAACCAATTTGTGTCCCATGCACTCATACTCGTATGACTTTATTTAGTTGCAAGTGCCATAAAACATTTTGAATTTTAAGAAATGGACATGTAAGCTTGGTAGAATGGGAGAAAAATTATAATACAATGTATAACCTTTGTCAGTTTCTCCATTGGAAAAAGGCAGTTTGTTGTCACAAACAGCTGTAGCATTCAAACTCCTCTCACGTGGGCAGATGTGCATACACACTCACACTCACTCAAGACAATTTTAGTACACTTACACACACACACACACACACACACACATATACACAGACATGCATATACACACTCACATACACACACATGCTTATTTGTACACACGAACTCGTGCATGTGTGCATGCATCCATAAACACAAACAAACACACACACACACCCACACACACACACGCACAAAATAACACATTCACTCTTGCACATCATACATTTAATCAGTGACCTCAACTCTGTCTCAGAAGTTACCGGCATAATTTTGCAACAGGCACAGTATGATGGCCTCGCATAACACCCCTGCTTTTGTCCCCTTGCTTGCAGGTAAAGTCTTTGTCCACTGTGTGCAGGGTGTGAGCAGGTCTGCCACCCTAGTTCTGGCCTACCTGATGATCAAACGTCACATGACTGCTCAAGATGCCACTCGATTGGTCAGATCTGAACGAGAGATATTCCCCAACCCAGGCTTTCTACAACAGCTGTGTGACCTCCATGAGAAATTGAAGAGAGACGGACATTTCCAGCATGGATGGATTAACAGGAGAAATCCAGGAGGAGCTGAGGAATCCGTTGCTCGTTGTCGGTCGCCAGGAGTTGTCGACTCAAAATCTGCCCATTGTTTAGAAAGTGAGACTCCGGGGAGGCAAGAAGAGGATTGCCACTGGGGAGTGTGTACAGTTGAGGACTTGGAGGAAATCTTGACAGAGCCTAGTGGTGGTTTTATGATGCTGCCGAATGAGCCTTATCATCAAATTGATGAGTTCATCTACATTGGATCGCGGTGAGTTGTTAGAATTTACTTCAGTCCGCACAACAAAAAAGGGGGAAAATAGTCAGTACAGTGCATGTACTTTTCTAGACTGAATTTAACCTAAGAACAACCCTATCTTTAAAAAAAACTACAAATATCACCTTTTTCACCAGTGTTACCTATTTAGCTACAGCTAAAGACTATGTTTAAGGATGCTCATAAAAACTGTTATCATTTCTTCAATCTTGGGTAAATAAATTGATACAAGATATGAATGCTGGAAAATTGGTGAACAACCTTTATCTTCTCTACACTGTTTCTGGAATTCCCAATTATGTCTTTTATGATTTCGATGGAACTTTCTCTCTCTCCCTCTCCATCTCTCTTGTTACCTCCACCCCTTTCTCTCTCCGGAACATGTAGATGACTCTGCTTCGAGCCCCAAAAGGAATATCTTTAACTGATTCAAAGTTTTCAAAGCTCTCCACCTACTTTGTCCTATTGAAAATAGACATTAAATTCAAAGGTCCCACCTTACAGTGTTGGAAACTGGCTTAAAGTCCGAACCAATTCAATCCGTCTCTTTATCAGCTTAATGTCTCTCTTACAGAGCATTTGCCATGCGGATAACAGAGTTGAAAAAGCTGGGTGTCACACACATTCTGAATGCTGCGCAGGGCAAAGGCTGCTCAACCGATGCCTCAATGTATGAACCAGAAGGGCTGCAGTTTCTAGGTGTGCAAGCCACAGATGCATCAGGTTTTGACATTTCTCAATACTTCACCTGTGCTGCTGACTATATAGCGAGTGCCGTTGCCCATAGAGGTATGTACATTGTCATCACTCTGAGAAAGTGTGCAAGGTCATATGTAGATATTGCATGAAGACAAATGCGAGGCAGCGTGGTGAAATCAGGGATGCTCGTCAAAATAATGAAATTGAAGAAACCATCATTTTTCACGTCGGTTTGACAATCTATATTGAATTATTGTTTTTTGGCACAATACCTTTCATGTCCATTTAAAATCCCATTTCTGTGTGGATTTGACTGAAAAACAATGATTATAGGCTCCAAAAATGTACTTTGGCGGCCATTTTATCGCTAATTTTACCTCTTAAATCAGGCAACCTCCATCTATTTCAATGGCATATATCTCGATTTCTATCCAAGATAAATGGGTTCATTTTCATCAACACCAAGACAATAAAACAAACTTTAAGATGATACCAATAACTGAATGCGTAAAAAAATTGACGAGCGCCTGATTCCACCGCGTCGTGACACAAATGTTACTATAGGTGTAAGTCTTCATAAATGCATTCATGAATTTTAAAATCTACCCATTTATAGTTTATGATTTATAATCTAAAGTCTGTAAAATAGTTTCGTGGACAAAGCTACACTTTTTTTTTTATCCTAGACTTGCAAATGTTTCTGAACATTCCACGATTCCATGATGCTCCTTAGTACCAAGGATATGAATCAAGAAATTTGGTCAAAGCTTTGATTTTTCTCTCTTACTGCACTGACCCTTCCTTTGATTAGCCCTCTTGTCAAATGGAAATAGATGTAAGCCAGACGAATGACACTTACAGATTTATATCTGCATGATCATGTCATTTTTCCTGTCCTTTTGTACAAGAGGTATACATTTTCTTTTTAATGCAGAGCTAATACTAATGTATGTGTCTTTTTTGTGTTCCATATGGCTAATGTATGTGTCTTTCTTGGACAAAACTAGTGTGTGTGTCCTTCTGGTTATGGCTAAAGTATGTTTCTTTCTTGGACAAAACTAGTGTGTGTGTCCTTCTGGTTATGGCTAAAGTATGTTTCTTTCTTGCGCTTAGCAAATATTATATTATCTTTCTTTTGAATGCCTAATGTATGTATCTTTCTTTTGCCATAGTTAATATTTGTGTGTTTCTGGAGCTAATGTATGCATCTTACTTGTATTTAGCTAATGTACAAGTCTTGTTTGTGCATGGATAATGTATTTGTCTTTCTTGTACATAGTTAATGTATGTGTCTCTCTTGTGCATAGTTAATGTATGTGTCTCTCTTGTGCATAGTTAATGTATGTGTCTCTCTTGTGCATAGTTAATGTATGTGTCTCTCTTGTGCATAGTTAATGTATGTGTCTCTCTTGTGCATAGTTAATGTATTTGTCTCTCTTGTGCATAGTTAATGTATTTGTCTCTCTTGTGCATAGTTAATGTATTTGTCTCTCTTGTGCATAGTTAATGTATTTGTCTCTCTTGTGCATAGTTAATGTATGTGTCTCTCTTGTGCATAGCCATTGTGTTTGTTTTTCTTGCACTTAGCTTCTGTATGTATCTTGTTTGTGCATGGCTAATGTAGATTCTTTTTCTGTTTTTATCTAGGAAAGGTATTTGTCCACTGTGTGGAAGGAGTCAGCAGATCGGCCACACTGGTCTTAGCCTACTACATGATCAAACAGAGGAAGCCTGTACGTGAGGCCGTTTGTTTGGTCAGGAGCCAAAGGGAGATTTGCCCAAATTCTTCTTTTTTGCAACAGTTGTGTGACCTTGACCAACAGCTGAGCACCACTCATCCTAGCCTGAAGTAAAATGCTCCAAGTGAACTATTTGCTTCAAAATATTTGTTAAAAATTGATAGAAGGAGATTTATCTTTACTATGACAATGAAGGCGCTGTTGTTCTGAAGTCTGGAAAAGCGAGACCTTAAAAATTATGTGTTTGACCCCCAAATGAAGACGACTGATAACAATTACATGTGAAAATGGGTTTGAAAAGTATGTGATGGACATCTCATTCTTAAATGGGACGGTTTGCTTGTTCTGTTGTTACCATATTGAGAGGGGCTTGTTTTTTAATTTTATAACTCTACCATTAAAATGTTGGATGGAGAAGTCTTCGTAATAGATACATTTGTAGAGCTGGTGCCTATCACCAGGAAAGACAAACCATTAAAATCATTATGGAGGGCCAGATCTGAAGCAGACATTGACTATCATTGTTACCCCCTCTTCCTCTGATTGGATGCTCTGAAAATACCTTTATATTCATTGTTTTGAGAAAGATGTTATTGGTCTACCCCTGCCTCTTTTGCCTTCTGTTTTTTCCAGTGACGGCAAGATGTTCAAGGCCTTTATGTTGATTCATGTGTCCAAGAAATTGCATTTGTCTCTTCCTGATTGTATTTATTAGTGATCGGCCAACCCTGGCTTCTTTCAGTCAGCACTGCCTCATTTGACTTTTTTCTCTTGCTATTAAATCCTCAACTCACTGTCTTTGTTAATTTCCCAGCATTCACAGCTGTAGGAATATTGACCACACACCTTTTTTGAAACTGTTATTTTGGTTGTCATTATGGAACTTTTTAAAATCCTATCTGTACGTCATGTTTTACTATCGTATCCATACGACGTGGGGAACTCTGTGCCACTACTTTCTAAAAAGGAAATTTACTCCTTAATCCGATCCGTACTTTTTGTCTGTCAAAATAATTCTTTTGAGAAATACTGAGAGTTTTGAAGAGACCTTTGTACTAGAAGTATTATAAAATGTGAAGAATACAACCCTGGGGGTTCAAAATGACCCCAGGGTGTACGGATAGGGTTAATGAAGCTGTCTTTATCTATTGCAGTTTATCATTTTATTTCTGGGTTGTATTTTCCGTCAGCTATATCCTAGACGTTTCACCTGTTGAACTTGTACGATCTTTTCACAGTTGCTTATTGAATGTAAATAGGATTTAATGCTTTTTTAGGTAGTAGTACCATGCATTATGTTTTCTTTACAGTTAAAAATAAACCCTTATATTCACCAGGACTTAAGTTGTTATTAATATTATTTCAGTACCCAGTTTTCCTAATGTGACAATCGGTTCTATTGGATTGTAATCTAGCTCTGCAGTTTCTCCATGTCATTTTTTTATGCAACTTATATTTATTTTTTCAGAATTGATGGTCCATTTATTTATTTCTTTATTACATGTTTTTTCCTCTACACCTCTTCTTTTTATTGTGACCTACTGTTTACGTCTCCTTTGTCCATTTTAATATCATCTCCCTTTATCCTATGAAACTTACATTTAAATATATACAGTCGAACCTGTGTAAGACGGCCACCCATTGTCAAGGAAAAAAGTAGCCGTATAAGACAGGTGGCCGTCTTAGGCAGGACTGATCAAGATGAAGAAAATAAACCCTTCCTTTCTGAGGTCCCAACCGAAGGTAGCTGCATTGTTGTTGTTGTTGTTTTTGCTGGGGAGTTTTCGGGGGTTTTTTGTGCAAGGGTGACAATTAAACAAAATGTGTCCAACAAGGAGGACCGAGTGCTATGGAAAAACAAACACATGGGTCGCCACCACTTGGAGAACGAGCGACGCTTCTGTCGCAAGTTCATGTTTACGTCCATTGTTACTTTGTTACAGACTGGGTAAACAGTGACCACTCATCTCACTTACGATTTGTGTATGAGTTCTGGGCGGGGGTTATGGGTTATGAGGGATCACACGCTTACTTCACCAGCTGCTGAAAATTTGTTACCTATTGGTCAACAGTGAGAGGGGCCAACGCAGCATGATCGGTTGGAGGGACTATACCTAACAACAACGACAGGTGATTGGATTATGGCGGCTGGCCCACAATGCCAGGGGCCAATGCACAATTTATAATGGAGTCACTAAGGTGGCTGTTTAAGACAAGTGTTATTGTTTGGTGTGATAGGGGTTGTGTGTTAAAATATGGTGGCCGCGGCAGCGTTGGACAGGTGCCCGTTTTACACAGTTTAATTATCATACACTGATGGATCTGCCTTTAAGGCAACAATCAACGCTGGATATGGGTCAGTTATCAACTTGCCCAGTGGGGAAAAAAAAGAAGTCTTCAACTCCAGCGGGTCCTTCTGCTCCAATTTCATTGCCGAACAACAGGCTATCACCAACACAGCAAACTACATCAACTACTTGTTTGACACTAACCCACTTGCTACCACAGACATCGTTATATTTACAGACAGCCTTTCAACACTAGAGACACTTGAGAGTGGGACTGATGTGAACAAAGATATATGCATTTGATTTGGAGTCTACATAACTTGATAAGTGGGCACCACGTCAGAGTAGTCCTACAATGGATTCCTGCCCACACTGGGATACCGCGAAACGAAAGAGCTGATGCTCTGGCAAAGAAAGGAGCTAGCCTCCCTCAGCCTGAAATTCCTACGAATTACACCACCTGCTGCCAAATGATCAAGTCAAACCTCAAGGAAGAGTGGATGAATGATTGGGCCACAGGTACGACAGGAAGGAAGATGTATGGCCACATGAATAAACCACTGGTCAAAGATCCAATCAATGAGTTGAGGAGGGGAGATCAATCCATAATCTTCCAACTTAGAACACAACATGTACCCCTCAACCAACATCTCAACTGAATTGGAGTAAAGCAGTCTGCTGCCTGCCCACTATGTGACTACCCCTCAGAGACAGTGGAACATCATCTATTTTTCTGTAGAAAACTAACTGATTTAAGGGGATGTTTTCTTCCCAAGCTACCCCACACATCTAATTGCCTCTACTCCTCAAGACAACAGTTAGAACAAACATGCAACTATTACCGAATGGCATCATGCAGAAGAGTTAACGCTCAGATGCTACTGGATCGCTAACAACAACAACAACACAGTTTAATTATACAGAAAAAATGCAAGGGGGGAAATGGAAAGTGGCCGTTTATACTGGTGGCCGTCTTTTATAGAAGTGGCTGTCAGGGCAGGTTCGACTGTATCATTTCTTCCTAGTTACTTCTTTAATTTTGGAATGCTTGTATTTGCTATTTTTGTTTGGTTCTCTTCTATCTCTCTCAACACTAATTATTTACCCGTGTTTCTTTTGTTAGTTTTAAAGCAGTACAAATTGTAGGATGAATAGGTCTTCATAATAAATAAATACATTCTTACCCTGATTGCTGCACTCCGGCAGGAGAGACAAACAGTTGTATGGCAGAATGACCAACATGATGAACATATTATGTCAGGAGTGCATGGGTATCAACTTTAGTACGTGTTCTTTGACCTTTTCCCCTCTTTTGTCATTTATCTGTTTCAGCTATTGAACCAAGTACACTGCCTAAATGTGTATAAAATAGCATTATCCATGTCACGTAGGACATATTTAACTCATACAGCTGTAAATTCAAAAATCCTTTAACATTTAATTGTGTGGTGGGTGTTAGAAAGAGTTGTGTCGTGTGAAAGATCAAAATCTTGAAGGAGTTGAATAAGCTTTGCTGGATGGAAGAGTGATTTGTGAAGCATGCTGACAAAATGAGTTACTTCTCGGTTTCAAACCTTAATGAAATAGAGATACATTACTTTTATTATAGGGGAAGTTTTTACAATTTATAAGTATGAAATTTAAAAAAAGACAAATGACAAGTTTAAGTTAAAGAATGTGGCATCTAGAAAACTTACAAATTTTACCCTAATGTCGATTTTTTGCCAATATCTCCATTTGTGGAGTGCAAAAAGTAACTAATTTTATCAGCACACCTCACATTTACTTTGCAGGACAAGGCATCTTCGCCGATGCCCCCAGGAGAGCAGAAGATGCAAGTTTGATTCCCACATGCGAAAGTTGTTTTTTAAAAATTTTTAATTGGGTAGGCTATCTCTGTTTTTCTGCTGAGATCTGTATCTCATTCAGCCCGGGTTGGCCCTGATCAGCAGGGTCCAAGCAGTCTGCTTTTCAATTTCAAAATACTTAAATTGTGTTGATTGGGGCGCAATACATCTGCAATCTACAATGTATGTAGAATCACAGGATTAAGTTCAAAAATGTTTATTTTTCAAATTGTTGAACAATAAAGTCCTTGTTGAATGTTTTCAATGTGATTGGAAGTATTTGTTAAGAGCTCTGGTGTGGTCTGCTCCCTGAATCAGTGTTTCTTTTGTCTTATTTTTTCCCCCGGGTGAATTTCGCCCATCATCTTGATAACTACTGCTCCTCTTGTTTTTTCAGTTCTTTTAAGTGTGAGTATGAGAGCAGCTGAACTTGGCGATTCAATGAATGTCATATTGGGTGGTAAGCAATTTTTCTAAAAGTTGAAATTGTCCACACAGACATCTAATATGTCACATATAATGTCTTCTTTCCTTCCTTATTCTTTATTCTGCCACATGTTATTTTACCCATGTTATTCTGCCCAGTATTTTTCTTATATTTTGCACTGTGTTATTCATCATATTTTTTCCTGTGTTATTCTGTCCCATATAATTCTATTACTATTATTCTGCCTTAAGAGTATTCTGTTATTCTGCCCTATGTTATTGTTATTATGCCCGACGTTGTTCTGTTATTCTGCTCTGTTTCTGCCCCGTGTTCTCCTATTACTCTGCCCCTTTTAATACTGTTATTATGCCCTGTTATATTATTCTGTTATTCTACCCCACTCTATTCTGTTATTCTGCCCCACATTTATCTGTTACTTTACCTCATATCATTCTTTCCCATGTTACGCTGCCTCTTATGCAAGAAGATATTGATCTGTTTGCACATTGCAAATTTTTTACTGACGTCTTAGAAAATAGCATTATGCTGGTTTCTACCTTAGATCTATGTATTTTACTGTTATAATATCCCCTTACTTTGAATGTACCTGTCACCTTATTTTCACAGAGTTGTAATAATGAATATCAGAATTGCTTTTTGAAAGATAATTCTGTGCTAGGTGGACTTTTCCCTGCACTTAGTTTTTCTTTGTAATAATAATAGTAATACAGTATACGGAGGCCTACAGTACAGTATAACTCAGATAGGTCGAACACAGAAGACTCGAAATCACATCTGTCGAACTGTGCCTGAAGTCCCGTTTTTTTCTTTCTCCTTTGTTATCTTTGTAAGATATCCTTCAAACTATGGATCCCTCGAACTACTGAGGCCGGTAACAACTAATTCGAGCTATCTGCGCTATACTGCAATCTGTGCTTCATGAACTGACGCTGACCTTTAACATCCAAGGAGGAAGAGAGTTTATAGACCTTGTTAGCTAACATTATACGTTGTATTCAGACAAAAGTAAAAGAAATGCATTTAATAGCAAGCAACTCGAAATGAGCATAAACGCAACTCGTCAAAGTAGTTCCTTTCCTTTTCCTACAGGGGTGCTCTTATCTGCCTAAGCATATGATTAGTTGGTTTAACCTTCTTATGGCTTCGCGTGTGACGTTCAAGCTTTATTCTTTTTTCAGAATTTTCCACAAACAGAGCACTTGTATCTGATTTTCTTGTTTGTTTGGCTGCCTCCGCTTTATGAACTCTGTTTCTCTCAAAAACTTGTCTCAGCTTTATGTCTCTGTGATTGGTCAAGGTACATTCTATCATTTAGTGAGTTCCCTAATTTTTTTGTGTGGAGTATTATGTCAAATCGACTGAACTTAATTTGTTTCTAATTCTTTCCACATAATTTTTATCAAATGGCATGCTCTGTGTTAAAAATAAAGTCAATGACACACTGCATGTATTGTCATTATAAAGGATTCTAATATATTTTGTTTTCAGTTTTACTGTCCATAGTGTTAGATCAGAAGCGAGAGGTGTTGCAGAATTTTGAGTGGTTGATTGTACTGTTGTGCTTATTGCATGCCATTGGAATTGACCAATTCTTGAATTATGATTTGAGTGTGTGTGAAGGTACTGTTGAGTGAAAAAATACTCGTATATTTTTAGATTAAATATAAAACTTATAAAGTTTGTTTATTGTCGTGGTGTTCAAGATTAATTTTATCATATTTGTATCTGTACACTACACACACACACACACACACACACACACACACACACACACACATGCATGCATGCTTCTTCCCTCCCCCACTCTCACATCCACTCACGAACACACACACGCACACACGCAGATGTAGTCAAAAATGCCATAACAGGAACCTGTCTAATTTTTATTCAAATTACCAGTATTCTGGTCTTGTACATATTGTGGGCATGATAGAATTATTAGATATGAACAAAATAGGAGACATGCACATTAATACGGTCAGTTGGTTCAGAAACCTGCACCTTCTATCTCGGGTCAAAACAATAGAACCTCATAACGTAGCTATCTCTCAAAGACCTACACAGCAGCACCCATCAATCTAAAGAGCTACTCTCTATAGATATGTAGCCTACTTATCTCGCCCTGAAATTCTGAAATCTTCAAAATCTTGGAAGATTACAAAAACAAACATACCACAGCTAATGTTTTCTATGTGGCACCGTTATCTCAGAAAGATTAAATGGCATCGTAATATGGCAATTTTGTTTTTCTTTTATAGGGGTCTTTTTGTTGGGAGGAGGGGGGGTGGGTCAATAAAGTTGAAGGAATCTCTGCTTGAAGTAGGAGGATATTATTGCTCCAGCGTCTGTGGTGTAGTGGTTAGGCACTTTGCTGTTGCACTCAGGAGACTCAAGCTCGATTCCCAGGTGGGGAGAAAATTTTTATCGAGTACGATGTTTCAGGCTTTCTGCTGGAATGTTGTACCCCTCTCTGCCCAGGTTCGCTCTAACAGGCAGCTGGGTCAGAAGCCCGCCTGCTAAATGGTCTAAATCGTGTCGATGGGGGCATAAAAATATTCAACAATTTTCTTTTTATTTTATCTCGAAAGAAAGTACAATTTGTCAATAATACAGGTTTGGGAGCAATATAATATATATATTATATTATAAGTATCTGTACCGAAAAAGGGCCACCAGAGAGTTGATTTGGCTCAATTTATAGTACAATGTGTATAAAAACTTAGACTACACTCCCCTTCCTGTCTCCTAAGCTACCCAGCAGAAGGCTGCCTCTTGGGCTCACAGCTGAACCTCTCTTTCTGAGATACCCAGCTCAATACAACCTCAACAACTGAACCTCTCTTTTTGGGCTACCCAGCACGAGACGATCTCGACTACTGAACCTCTCTCTTTGGGCTACCCAGCACAATGCGACCTCTACAACTGAACCTCTCTAATTTAGACCTCCCAGCACATCACGGCCCCTTCAAGGTCTACTGAAGCTCTCAATTAATGCCAACTAATGAGTGACACTCTGTGTGCCTTTTGGTGAATGTACGGTTAGACCAGTGCTTGCTCACCTGGGCAGTATCGCCCAATATAGTGGTCCGATTAATTATTGGTAATTTTGAAGGGCAATTGGGTACAACAGTGACAGTTATTATCGGATGCCCCGCTTGAGAATACACGTACTTGTTGATGGGTGGTACGAAAATTTTAGCTTCCTCAAATGCAACAAAAGCGGGCGCTGGCTGAAAAAAAAAAGATTGACAAGCACTGGGTTCTACTCTTGGTAATTCTTGCTAAATTCGTGCGTTCTGTTCTCACGTTGAGAAGATACATTATCACGTATCTTATCTAGTGTTTCCGTTTTTCTTCAGCCCAGGTTTTTTTTCTTGCAACCAAAGTTGCAACGTTAGCTATCCTAATAGCGTGGATAAAGACGTAAAACAAAAATTATAAGCATGTTTATTATCTACCTAGTTTTAGGCGTTGCCTCTTACACTGCTACTTGCCCTCCTCCTCTTACCCTTGTCTTCTTGACTCCCTAGCCTCTCATCTTATCCACTTACTCTTTCGTCCTCTTTCCTCTATTTCTTTTGTATGTTTGCCACACTCTTGTGACCCGCTATTTCTGGGGTGCCTTGAATGATAGTCGAAACAGACTTTGTGCTGTTGAAGCTAGAGAGGTGAGCAGAGTAAGCCTGGTTCCCTGTAAAGACTTCTCTGTTGACAACCACCCCTTGGCGCTCTTCTTATGACATTTTGCAGTTGCGAGCGTCGTAAAACCTCTACTAAAAAAAACTTACCTTTCTCCTCTTAGGCTCCTCTTTAAATCCTTCTCCTCTTACCCACCTCCTTTCCCCCTCCTCCTATCTCCTCTTAGCCTTCTCCTGTAAGGTATCTCCTCTTTCTCTCCCCCGCCGCCTTTCCCGTACCCTGCCTCTTCTTACGCTCCTCCCCCCGGCGAAGAACCTCTGCGGCTTGCATTGTACCGAATCTTTGTGAAGAGCTGGTTCCCATCCTGTGATCTACGTTGGATCTCAAGAGTGGGACTTCCGCCGCTGCTGAAGTCTCTAGCGATGACCATTGAGCCATCCTGCAGACGGCCTGTCCACAGGGTGTCAGATCTTTGTATGACGGAACCAGAAACCATCTGCAGCTCAAAGCGACGGAAGTCTCTCATGACGTCAGCAAAAGTTCCCCCTCTGAAGAAAGTAAAAGCAAATGTCAAGCATTGTGGTGAAATCAGGTGCTCGTTATAATAATAATGAAATGGAAGAAATCAACTCTTTCCCGCTCTTTTGGCGATTTATTATATATCGATTTTTGTTGTCATTTTGTTCTGGGCTCGATACATGTATATTTTTAATATCCACTTAAAAACACATTCCTGATAGGAATTTATTTGAATATTGTAAAAGTTGTAGTTTTCAAAAGCCAGTACAGCTTTGGAAGACACCAAACATTGAAGGCCAATTGCTCGTTAATTTTACTTCTGACATAGGCGACCTCAACCTCCTTCAGTCGTAGTAAAAGTATCTTGACTCCTATTCAAGATAAATGGATAGCCTATATTTTTCATCAAAAGCAAGATAGATCAACAATGTTTAAGCTGCTCAGTAACTCCATACATGCCCCAAAACTGACGAGCGCCAGATTCTCCTCGAACTCGAAGCAACACAAATGTTTTGGTTTTCTTTGAGTGTGAAAGAAGCACACGAGCACGATAATGTTTATTCTAGTACTGGGGAAAAGTAGCACATTTCGGATGTTAAAAACACATCGACACCCACGATTAATCAGTTTAGTGCTTGGAAAAGGCTTTAAAAAACCACACAACATAATTATATAGAGAAACACAAGAACACGGTAACGGGCAATAAGAGAAGGGGAAAGGTAAGAAAGCAGGAGAAGCAAAGGTGACAATAATCTAGCATCTGCGTTTGTTGCCATTTTTGTGTCCAAAAGTTGCCACAGAAAGTGGCAAAAGTTGCCCAAAAAGTTGCCATTAATTTTCAAGCTTTCTTCAACTCTCTGTGACGACGTATAGAGCAATCTAAAGCACCAGGATTTCTTGTGCTCTGCGTTTTTAAGCATCCAGAATATCATTTGTAGTCACCCAGAGTGTAAAAACGTGAAAAATAAAGGTTTCACAACAGAATCAAATCAAATTTAAAACAGCACGGAAAACTAACCACAAAAATTAACAAAGTAGGGCGTTTGTCCACCTATCAGAAGATTGGCTGCTTTAACCCTAATCTTGTGTAATTCAAGAAAAAGTAGGCCTACAGGATTATATTACATGTGATGGAATCACACACTATTGGGGCGTGCCAGTGTCAGTATTCGCTCTAACATAACACATTTATATTTTTAAAAGGGTAAGAACAGCATCAAATTAGATGACATTACGCTGTATAAACACACACACACACACACACACACACACACACACACACACACACACACACACACACACACACACACACACACACACAAAGAAAAACAAATCATTAGAACACTTTTTTTGAAAAACTAACACACCAACAAATTAAAACACAACAAAGAGGGAAAAATAAAAGACAGACAGCAATATATATATATATAAATAGTATGTAATGTAACGTAATTATACTCTCCGCATCGAAATAGAAACACATGTCTTAAAAATTATCAAAAAACATGTCTAATATTATTTATGTATGGAGTGGCTTTGTTGTTTTGGTCTTTTTTGAAAACTGCAAAAGTCGCGGCCGCGACAAACGCAGATGCTAGAATAGGATTATGTCCCGGATAGCGATGGAACATTTTGTTCTCTAAAATTGTCTCCTTTCACATCCTTTCCTACTCTCTACACTAACATCAACAACTATCTTTCTCGGACAAGGGTGAAAAATCTCGGAGATCCCGTCTGCAAGTTGAGCTGGCTAAAGCCTTGGTGGTCCAAAATCGATAGAGTAGGTTTCGGCCGCCACCCGGTCAAAATTCAAAATTTCCTACCACTTGAAATTTTAAACGCAAACATAGATCATCATAGAGGTGCCGAAGACTAGTGGTATCACTAAAGAGAAACACACAAAGGAAACATTGAGAGATAAGGACGATAGGTGTTTAGTAGGAAAGAAGGAGCAAACCACACTTATAGTTACAGCATCACCCACTCAAGTGAGGTATCACATCATCATCATCCAGTGCCAGATCTGCAACAGACATCGGCGATCATGGTTTTCCATTCATACCTTTGCTCGGATGCTCTAAAAAAAGCTACGTTTCCCTGATCTTTCCCTGTGACCCCTTTTTTTAGGTTACCTAAGTATGTTGTTCTGGGCCTACCCCTGCCTCGCTTGCCCTCAATTTTGCCAGTGAGAGCAAGATTTTCAAGACCCATGTCTATTCAGGTGTCTTAAAAACTGCATTTGTCGTTTCCTGATTGTTTTTAACATTGAGCGTCCCACGTGGGCTTCATCAAGTACTACCTCATTTGATTTTTT